TAGGAAGATGTAATGTACTAGCGTTGAGGGTTTTAGTATGTAAACCCTAAACCCTAAACCCTAAACCCTAAACCCTAGCTCAGAGAAAAAGATCTAGACAGGTGTAATGTTCTCGCTCTCAGGGTTTTAGTATGTAAACCCTAAACCCTAAACCCTAAACCCTAATTCTTAAACCCTAAAGAAATGGTATTAGAGTGTTCCTTGTTCTTTCTCTTCACACTATGGTGTATAAACCCTAAACCCTAAACCCTAAACCCTCAAAAAGAAGCCTGCATGATAACATGTCTCTGTGTATTTAGGGTTTAGGGTTTAGGGTTTAGGGTTTATGTGTATATTTCAGGAGAAGGATTTACAAAGAAGTTTAGATGAATCTGATGCAGAGGCGGCGAGGTGTACATACACCTCAGCACCCAGACTCCTAGACCTTCTTTCTTTTTCTTCTTCTCGCTTTCGTGTTGCTTTTTATAAAGCTGTTGGCGCTACAAGGGTTGCTGCTGATATAGAAGAAGCTACAAGCCTAGCTTATACTTACAGGCAAAGAGGCAAGGGTTTAGGGTTTAGGGTTTAGGGTTTAGGGTTTAGGGTTTAGGGTTTGGGGGGTGGTGCAATAGAGACAAGGGTTTAGGGTTTAGGGTTTAGGCTGTTGGTGCTACGAGGGTTGCTGCTGATATAGAAGAAGCTACAACTCTAGCTTATACTTACAGACAAAGAGGCAAGGGTTTAGGGTTTAGGGTTTAGGGTTTGGGGTTGGGGTTTAGGGTTTAGGGTTTAGGGTTTAGGNAGGGTTGCTGCTGATATAGAAGAAGCTACAAGTCTAGCTTATACTTACAGACAAAGAGGCAAGGGTTTAGGGTTTAGGGTTTAGGGTTTAGGTTTTAGGGTTTGGGGCTGGGGTTTAGGGTTTAGGGTTTAGGGTTTGTGTTTAGGGTTTAGGGTTTAGAAGGTACCAGTATCGCCTACAAACACAGCGAAAGAGTGAAGGGTTTAGGGTTTAGGGTTTAGGGTTTAGGGTTTGTGTTCAGTGGTGACCCTGGACGGGGGTTTAATAGAAGTAGATGGGCGGATGGTTGGTGGTGGTTTAGGGTTTGGGGGTTGCAGCATAAGGACTGATGGTTTTGCTGCTGGCGGGGGTTTGTCTCTCTATACAAAGACAGAAGAAGAGCAGCAGCAGCAGCAGCAGCAGCAGCAGCAACTGCTGCAGCAGCTGCAGCACACCATCAAACAACTACAACATAATATTGCCGAACACAAACGCAAACAAGTAAGTCCTAGGGTTTAGGGTTTAGGGTTTAGGGTTTAGGGTTTATAGGGTTTAGGGTTTAGGGTTTAGAGATCCAACTGTACAGGTGTTTGTTTCTCTTTCTAGGGTTTACCGAAACCCTCCTCTCCTGGGGTTTAATCCCTAGTATCTAGAGTCTAGGGCTTAGGGTTTAGGGTTTAGGGTTTAGGGTTTAGGGTTTAGGGTTTAGGGTGTTGCTGCAGGAGGACTTGGTTGCAACAGAGAGACATCTGGGGAGACAGCATGCAGAAGCAGAATCTGCTGCTGAGCTGCTTCAGCAAAACATTGCAGCAGCAAAGCTACAGGTTAGGGTTTAGGGTTTAGGGTTTAGGGTTTAGGGTTTAGGGTTTAGGGTTTACGGGTTGGCAGTGCGCTGCCGGCCGCTGCTCTCGAGGGTTTAGGGTTTAGGGTTTAGGGTTTAGGGTTTGGGGTATCAAGCCTCAGGGGTCTGATGCAGCATGTTGATAGAGGGTTAAGGGTTTAGCGCTATCTAGGGTTTAGGGTTTAGGGTTTAGGGTTTAGGGTTTAGGGTTTGGTTGCAGAGGAGGGAGCTGGAGACACGAGTGAAGAGAGCAAACGAAGAAGATTTAACTGCTGATGAAAAAAAGAAACTGACAAAGTTACAAGCAGAGGTGCGAGGGTTTAGGGTTTAGGGTTTAGGGTTTAGGGTTTAGGGTTTAGGGTTTAGAGGGTCGGGTTTAGGGTTTAGGGTTTAGGGTTCCGCGTTTAGGGTTTAGTATTTAAGATTGAGGGGTAAGGGTTTAGGGTTTAACCTCTAGCTTCTAGGGTTTAGGTTCTAGGGTTTAGGGTTTAGGGTTTAGGGTTTAGGGTTTAGGGTTTAGGGTTTGTGCAGGTAGCTTCACTCAGCAGCACTCAAGCCTCACTACATTCCATGGTGCAGCAGCAGGAGCAGCAGCTGCAGCAGCTGCAGCAGCAGCTGCATGCAGCAGGAGGAGAAGAAATGAAAAAAAGAAGAGCGCGGCTACTCAAGGCAGAAAGGGGTATCTCGAGGGTTTAGGGTTTAGGGTTTAGGGTTTAGGGTTTAGGGTTTGTACTCAAATTTTTTTAGTTGTTTTCTTGTCTCCTTCTCTCGCTACACCGCACACAAACAAACAAAATAAACTTTACGCATGCATGCATGCATGCATGCATG